GCTGCCTGCAACAAGTTCTTGTTCTCCAATGAAAACAAGCTTGTCACCGCATGGTGGCCTAGCTCTGTCAACAAGGTCTTCCCTTCTTCCCAAGAGACTTCCGCCAAAGAGGAGGCCAAGAAGATGAGAAAGATGCTCCCCAACTTCATGAAGCCTGAGGCTCTCCAACGATACATCGGGATCATGGACACTGTTGCCCAGAGGCACTTTGCTGATGGTTGGGAAAACAGGAAGGAAGTTGAAGTCTTCCCCCTTGCCAAGAAGTAAGTATTTTATTTAACGTCATATTACTTTTTTTTTTCTTCTTTCTAAATTGGCAATTTAGATCACTGATAGATATTAACCGATAATATAGATTAATAATATGATTAAAATCACTAGTTTGATAACATAACATGTCAGGAATGAATGATTATGGTAAGTAATAGAGCGGAGTCTACATTGATTTTAATTACTGTATGTGTAATTGATGATGTGCGTTTCAACAGCTACACCTTTTGGCTTGCTGCACGGTTGTTTGTTAGCCTTGAGGACGCAACGGAAATAGCAAGGCTAGGCGATCCATTCGCCCTGTTGGCCTCCGGGATCATATCGATGCCTCTGGACTTCCCCGGAACTCCGTTCTACAAAGCCATCAAGGCGTCCAACTTCATCAGAGAGGAGCTGACAAAGATCATCAAGCAGAGGAAGGTTGATCTGGCTGAGGGCAAGGCGTCCCCAACACAAGACATATTGTCACATATGTTGTTGTTGTGCGATGAGCATGGAAGTCACATGAAGGAACACGATATTGCCGATAAGATTTTGGGGTTGTTGATTGGTGGGCATGACACGGCCAGCGCTACCTGCACTTTCATTGTCAAGTATCTTGCTGAGCTTCCTCACATTTACGATGAGGTCTACAAGGGTACGTATCATATATGTCAATCAATTTCTTTCATTAATTTGCAATGACTTCTTTCCACATATAGCCGAAATAATTTATGATGCTTTCTCTACCAAAATTTAAGGCCTATTAACCTTTGCATATCTAACCTTTCATTTTGCCTATGGTTAATTAATAAAGTGGGAATTGTTCTCTCTCTCTCTCTCTCTCTCTCTCTCGTCGACCATTAGATATTTCGATGTGAATCAATTAATTAATTGACTTTGGCCGCCTTGGATAAACATAAACATAAACATAAACCAAACCCCATCACTATATATATATATATATATATATATATATATATATTCTATTTCTTGTAAGTTGTAGCTTTCCTTGGGTCGGCAAAAGAGGCCTTTTATATAAATAGTCAAATAAGATGATGAGCTGCCTACCTGCTTCTCTTGCAATTACATATTTAACCTTTTTCAATTTGGGGGTTTATTTTAATTAATTATTAACTAACAATGTTATGTAATTAATTTGAAATGATTAACAGAGCAAATGGAGATCCTGAGTTGCAAAGCCCCAGGGGAGTTGTTGAACTGGGATGACCTACAGAAGATGAAATACTCATGGAACGTAGCCCAAGAAGTGCTGAGATTGGCACCACCTCTTCAAGGAGCTTTCAGGGAAGCCTTGGCTGACTTTGTCTTCAATGGTTTCACCATTCCAAAGGGCTGGAAGGTACGCATTCTATCATATCATATTAACTTAATTGTTTGTATTAATAATGTTTAATTGACTTAATTAATGACATGAACATGATGGTTGGTGCAGTTATATTGGAGCGCAAACTCAACACACAAGAACGCAGATTACTTCCCGGAGCCATTTAAATTCGACCCAACAAGATTCGAAGGAAATGGGCCAGCACCCTACACCTTTGTGCCCTTTGGAGGAGGCCCCAGGATGTGCCCAGGCAAAGAGTATGCCCGCCTGGAAATTCTAGTGTTCATGCACAACTTGGTCAAGAGGTTCAAGTGGGAGAAGATTCTTCCCGATGAGAAGATCGTCGTTGACCCTCTCCCCATGCCCGCCAAGGGCCTCCCCGTCCGCCTTTTTCCTCACAAAAAGTCTGCTTAACTTCACTTGAAAGGGCTGGCTGGCTACGTGCATTTCCTTCCTTCATTGTCTATTTAATTATCTAGCTAAGTTGCAGATGTATACATAAAACAATCGAACAAGGCTTTGTTTCTTCTTTTTTTGGGATCCTTTTTCTTTTTCTTGGTTATTGTTGTATTTGTTCTTCATGTCCACTGTACGTGTTTAATCAGGGCTTAAGCTCGTACGTGCCACTTGATGTTTCGATACATGAAAAAATGTATAATGGAGAAATTAAGAATTAATAATAAACATATTGTTAACAACGCAGCTTCCTAGTGCCTCCTCCATCATGTTCATGTCATGTGTTCATTTTCAATTAACAAAACGTTCTCATCAGCACATATTTCGCATATATATATAGTCAACATATTATATATACTAATACTGCGTATAAATAGGGTTAATACATGTCTTCACGATCGATCGACAAGATATTATATACAATAATTAATGTACACAACTGTTTACAACAAAATTCAACAAATGAATAATTTGTACCAAATATATAATTAACCATTTTGGAGGTAATTAAAAGATGTGTCACAATCATACTACAAGCTAATGGTGGTTGGTACAGTCGCATAATTAGCACGAGCGCAGCCAGGTCAGGTCAAAATGGGCATGCTAGCTGCTGCAGCAATACAACATTCAATACTTGCATAGCATTTTCCATCTCAATAGTAAGATTGACTAATGATCCTCAATTGCTGGCATCACTTCTTTTTCATTGGAAATCAATCTGATGAATTTAAGATCAACTTCCAAGTCCACTTCTTTTGAAGTCCTTTTACCTTGCAATATCCTTCAATCAAAAAACATTTTTGCATAAGACTTCCTCAACCCTGACTCATCTCGAGACACTTCCTTTTTACTAACGCATACGTAACAATAAATAAATAAAAATAGAATATGTAATCCAATACTACTTTAGACATTAAATTTCTTAGGGGTAGGTACATTCTCTTCTCTATTCTTGACTTACCACATTCATGACTTTCCCCATTTTAGGTAAGTAAACATGACATTATTGCCATGTAGAAGAATGCGTGCACTAGAAAGCAAACATCTTAACCGGATTCATGACTTTCACTTATCCACAATCATGTTCCTTGTTTTTTAATTAAAATTTACCTAAAAACACTAGAAAGCTATTTTAGGAGCTCCATATTAAATTTCAACTCCAACCAAACTCCTAGGTTTAGGTAATCATATATGATTTATTTGTTTTTTTTAGTTTAGCATAAATGCTCCCCTTTCATATAAAATAATAATAATAAATAGTTAACATTAAATAAATACTTAAAATAACATTAAAGTACATCATCATTTAATTATAGAGAGCCACTAGGAGTCCTTTCTCTCTCTCCTTAGATTTAGGAGCTCCTAGAGATCTTCCTATTTTAAGAGTTGGATAAGAAGCATGGTTGGAGGTGGGTTTTCTCACTTCCTTCCTAAATTTTATCTAAGGAAGTGGTTTAGGGAGTCCATTGCGAATGCTAACTAGTTAGGTTTTAACTTTTTCCTAAATATGATTTTGGTCCTCATAGTTTTTGGGTGAGCCTCTACTTTAGTCCATATAATTTCAATTGTCATAATTGAAAGACAATGTGGTTTAATTCCGTCAATTTATCTTTATGAAATTAGTATGTGAGTGGCACATGTGAGGTACTTTACACTTCCAAAAAGTTGGATTTATCATCACATATGCTACCCACGTGTCAAGTCCGATGGAACTGAAAAGTTGACGAAATTAAGCCATTATCCTTCAATTGCAACAAAATATTGAGTCACAATAATTGAAACTACTCAACCAAGGACAAAAATTACAATTTGATATTTTAGGCTTTAATTCTCAAGTTCTAGGCTAATGCACACCAAAAAACGGAAAGATATGAATTTTTACACCTAATAAGAATTGCTCATACAACCGTACTATATGGATTCATATAAAGGGTGAAGTGCGCACACACACACCTGAAAAATGAAATTGTTTGAGAAAACATGATGCATGCAAGTGAAATTCTAATCTTATATATATGCTTTCTAAAGTAAGAGATGTCCTTATTTTTCTTAAAATACAAACATCTTATTTATGTGTTGTAAACCTTCCCGTTTTCAAGTTCTCTTTCAAGAATTATTCATGAAAAAAATAATCAAATCGGTAATTATTTAACCATTTTATTAGCCACATTTTCTTTTCAGTTTTTCAAACAGTTTTTAGTTGTTATAGATTTTAGGTGACCATAACACTTGGGATGTGGATGATTGCAAGTATACCTTAAATGCACCTCCTTCCTTGGTACGTAGTTGGAAGAGGCTTAGCTGTAGAGAGAGAGCACCAGAGACACATGTCATTGCTCCCTTTGGGCAGGAAACTCGAGCTTCCCGTTTGCTTTCCCTTTCTGATGATGATGATGATGACGACAAGCAACAGTGAGCAAGTGATCGATCATCGATGGATGCGACGGATCATTCTGGGCTTTACCTAAATTGGCAGCAGCACTTAAGATGCCGTTTAAATCGATCACAAATAGTCATCTTGATTCTTGCCACGTGGCTAGTAGTGACAACTTGTTAGTTGGTTGGGGTATGCTTGAATTGATTACCTGAAGATATGTAAAGCTTTTTAATCAGCCAATCCAACGACGCATGGGGATGGAGCGGTGCAAATTATAACTTCAGATTAGCCAAACAAAAATAGAAAGAACAGATTGCAATTCCGGTATTAATTCCTGGAACACAACTTCTTCTTTTTTTTTCTTTTTTGGCAGCCTAACTATTTATACATAATCTAAATTTAATCATATAAACAGAGACGAGAGAGATTAAAAAGAGAAGAGAAAATCTTGTGTAATATTGCATTTTTCTTGATTTCCTTATTGATCAACCTCCCAAATGGGTAAGGTAACATCACAAATTCTTCTATTACCCAGCCGCCAATAGAAAACCAGTAAACAACTCTAAAATTACAACCGCTAAGGCATCAGACATAGTATACAGACACCCCACCACAACCTGCATTCATCCAACTACTTCCACATCGCCAAAAACCATCTACTCTGAAACAAAACAATGAAAAAGAAAAAACAGAGGAAAAAAAATACTTCAATACAAAATGGGTGTCACCAAACAGCCTTCCTGCCCAGCATGCCTGGAGGTACCAACACCTAATGACTCTGAACGATTTACCATGAAAAAAAAAAATACAAAAGATACAGGAAAATTACGGAGTCAGCTTGGAGCCTGACTGCTCGAGATGACCAAATTACCACCTCAAACTTCGTCAGTTAGTGAGCAATTCATAAAATCACAAAGGTACAGTAGAGTGCTGTCACCACATGCATCTAAAATGCCTAAGCACTTCCAGTTGATACAACTGTTGCCGCCTTCTTGTCAACAGACTCGCTGTGGTGTCCACCACTTCTTTCAGATTGTCCTACTATTTCTTTATCACCCTTTTCCAACTGCAATACTTGAGATAAGCTATCAGATATTTGGTCTACAGAATCATGTTCAAATATAGCTGAAGCATCTGTTTTTGAGCTAATGTTAAGCTCAGTTCCTGAGACTTCTTCACTACTATTTCCTTTCAACTTCAGGGCTTCATCAAAACTATTAGAGATTTCCCGAACAGAATCAACAGCAAGTGAATCAGAAGCATCTGTAGTCGAACAAGCTTGTTGTCTAACTTTCCTTTCCTTCAAGGATTTTTCCCGCTCATCATAAAATTCGAAATCATCTATAATAGATGTCCGTGCATCATAATCGCTGAAAATTTTCAACAGCTCAATACCCTGTTTCAGATTCACCTAACAATATTTCACCATCAAGAAAGAAAATGTCAGGCAGATGTAAACTCTAAATCAGCAGACGAGCCAAACGTAGCCAAGGAGGTAAAAGGAAACAGATTGAATGCATTATGTAAGAAATGTGTACTATAAAAAAAAAATTGTGACTTATATGTCAGGACTGAGATTATCGTTTCAATCACTTCATACTAGATAAACCTTAGACTAGGCAAAAACCCAGAACTTCCAGCCTACCTACAAAAAGAAACAGTTTGGAAAGCCATTTTTAAAATGAAAGATGCATAAGTTAAGAGTGCTCAATTACCACTAGATAAGCCTTTCCAACTCCACTTCAAACTTGGCGTGTTTATTCTTTAGACGAGATACATGCATTGATATGTGTAAAATGATTTTTTTTAACCACTCTAGTTAATTCTGAATTTGTGAAAGATACTGCTTTTTCATTTCTAGGTTTTGGGGTTTGAACCTAAATTATAACTCTGTTTTTATCTAGTCAGATGGTTTAGGTTGACAATCCTCAACCCGAATCACGCATTGCATACCCAACATGATCCACCCCACTTGAAGGGGGTTTGAGAGGACAGGGTAGCTCCTAAAATAAATCATACTTTCAGAATGACCTGCATATATGAGACCGTAAACAAATTTTGATTTGGTCAAACATCACGCAGCAAGGGTTGTGTTGCATAAGAGAAATCTTTTTATTATTATTTTTTTTTTCTTTTTCTGGAAACAAGATCAAACTTTTTGTGACGACAAACCATGACGCTGAAACACTGGTAAATTGACTATCATAAATGACTCATAATCCTGACATTATTCAAACATGTGACTTTGAATTCTACAAAAAATGCATGCGAAATTTTTTACAAAAATGAAAATAATCCTGCTAGCTTACCAAATCACCCACCCACAACTGAAATCTTCATTAGTTAGTATGCATGACATAATCCTACTAGCCTACTACATCTTCAATATATTGTGCTTTCACACTAAAAGTGAAATTTTAAAAACCCATATATTCACAACTGTGAAACTTTGAAAGCCCAAGGCAATCAATCAGACCTATCAAATATTAATATATGATCATCTGAAATTTCATTGAGTAAACAAATTCCAATATAATGAAAAACATCAACCAAGAAATGGCTTTCTCTAGGGTCGAGTGGAAACAGAAACCATATAATAAATGTCAAGGTTTAAAACCAAATTTAAGTTCTAAACAAAAATGGCGTTTTTGTTTCTAAATGAAAGTGAAAGAGATGGAGAGAGATATACTACCTCCTGACAATCTCGGCTGTGAGTGACAGGCTTATTATCATTATTTTCAAGTAGAATGTGACGAAAACGAATGTTAGGAACATCCTTAATAATATGCCAATGAACTGGAAATTGCCCACTCCACCTATCTTGCTGCCAGTAATCAGCATCCTTCTCAAAATCTACAGATCCAACCATTTCGGCTACCCCGCAAAACTGTCCACTAGCATTAACCTGTTGTAACCAACAAACTCTAAGAGGACTGACATAACTAAAGAGCAAATATAAAATAGTTTAAGCACAGGCAACAAGTTACTTGTAAGTACCTAAAGTTTCAAAAGAAAAGAACATAAGGCCTCGTTTGTTAGGGAGGACTAGACTAACTTGGAGGATGAAGGAGGACTATTCATAAGAGGTTGATGACTAAAACTTATCCCTCATAATCCCACCATTTTCAAGGGGATTAGGGGGAACAAGTTTTAGTCATCAACCTCTTATAGATAGTCCCCATTCTTCCTCCAAGTTAGGCAACATATCAATATTATGCCTTGAATGCACATGAAATATAAGCATTTTGCTAGTCTAGTCTAGTCCTCCCTATCAAACAAGCCCTAAAAGTCAGCTTATTTCTTGGGCTGGCATGAAAACTCCTACTGTTTCAACGGGAAGAGACAAAAATTTACAGAACGAATTCGAAAAGTACTAGTGCAACACAGAGACCATGAATCCATACAGTTATTAGGTCCAAAGAATGAAATATAAAAGAAACTGCAGTCATCTCCATGAATCTCAAAGAGAGAAGCACTAATATGCTTGCCATATCAAACATTTTTGTTATCACCAGGCTCTAAATGGGGATCAATACCCAATTAGTATCTTTCTACCTTATACTTTGTGGTGCTGATATCAATTATGTACCAAACACATCTCCCCACCCCCAACAACGAGGACACCCTCGGGCCAGTTGCTCAAACAATTAGGAAATTAACAAAAGGAGCATACCGAAAAGAATAAGAAGACCGGGCAGCTGCCTTTTATCCTCTGTGCCTCATGATAAGCAGCATCAAGTTTCTTGTTTCCATGGGGCGTGCTGGCCCAAACACTGTATTTAATACTTTTATGAACATTGTCCTCACTGAAAGACTTAATGATAAAGAACTTTGCATCCTCATAATCCGTGACAAAATCCAGCCGGTTAAATGAATCAAGGTTAATTCCGGAAGCAGAAAGTCCCATTTTCTTAGCACTAAATGAACTCTGGTCGGAAGCATTCTTTCCCTTCAGCTTTGAAGCCCTTGGTCCTCGATTACGGTCATTGAAGCCATCATGTGAACTATTGAAAACACAAATTGAGTCCCAGTCCCTCTCTCTTCTTCTGCTCTTGTCAACAGTTAGTCGGTTCCGATCATTACCAAAAGAATAAGAAAGGGAAGCATCACCAAAGTTAGAGCTTTGATAAGAACTACCATGAGGATAGCGTCCAGTATATGAACTTGATATCAATCCAAATCCATGCACCGGCCTCTGTTGATGAGAAATCTGAAATTAAATCATAGTCATCTATTAGTCATCCCCATAAATAAAACACGACCAGCTGGCATAGCCATGATGCGGTTTAGAAAGAAAAATCCGTACTTGATAGAAGGAATGCATAAATATTAGCATAAATATAAATGATCAACAGAGTCCACACATTTGATTTTAATTGTAAAACCCAAATTGAGATCATTTAGAGCAAAAGGTTATGAGCCTTAGGAATGAATCTTCAAGTATGGTTAGAATTTCAACTATTCAAGAAAAGTTTACCCATGGATGGGCAGCATATGGTCTTATCTGACAAGCAGCATGAGTGTAGTAAGTTTATATTTACCAAGGAAACATCGGTCACCTAAATCTTGTATGGCAAGGCCCTTTTAAGAACAAGAAACATGATATGTTTTATTTGCCTATCAATTTAAAGGCCCATTAAAAGAAACTAGCAAGAACTGATTTGATTTGTTTGGTGTCTTATGTAACTAATTTAAAGCTACCAAACTCCTAAAAGTTTGAATCACAGCCCTTGTGATATTTCAAATGAAGAAAATAATATTAGGTAAAAAAAACAAAAGAACTATTCACATTGAAACCTAGCAATCTCTGTTTGTATCAGCAATAACAGATACTATTTCTATCAGCAGGAATTGATATTAAACCTTTATTATAAAAAGTTTCACAAGAACAAATAAAATATTGGCCAGGGTTTCTACTCAAAAACCAGGAAAACAACCGCACATCATTACAATGAACCTGTGACTCGTTATCTATTTTTATTACCACAACACCCATTTCTTTTTCAACCTCTCTCCCACATTTCTATCTATGAAGCGCCCGCAGGATACCTGGGGATAAAAATACCTACAAACACCCACACCCCAAAAGAAAAGAAAAAAAAGTGCATATAGCATTAATGCCATTATCTCTGAAATCTTGAATGATGCTGAGAACACATGGGTTGTGTGGCAATCGCATGGGGAATGATAACTATAATACATATCATAAAAAATAAAAAATAAAAACATGCCTCCTATACTGGAACTACATACTTATGCCCAAACATGTGTTCATTAGTTAAGTTTGAACAAAAATATACTACTAATGGTGTATCAATTCTTCAAGTCTAGAAACATCTCTTTACCATGGAATGAAAAAAGTGAATATTAAATAAAAACAAACCTGCCCAACACTGTGTTCATATGACCCAAGAATGCCCATTGGTGGAGGATAAATTGCTGGAGATGCTAAAGCACTTGAACCAAGATGTCCAGACGGATCTCCTCCACTAAATGATCTAAAATTTACCAAGTAACCTGATCCTGGCCCAAAGGCCATGTTGTCAGTGCTATTACTTTCTGATGTCATCAGCTCAGTTGGTGAAACTGGAATAGCTGAAGAAATATGAGACATACTTGGAGGAGATGGCTGAGGGTAATAAGATGGAGAGAAAGGGACCTGTTGTGTGGAGTAAAGTTGGCCATCTACCATTACAGAAGGCAAAGGTGTAGCGACTGGTGAATATTGTCCATATGCAATTTCAGGATTGAAGCCATAACCAGAGTGAAACAGAAGAGATGGATTATCGTTGTAAATGACCTACAAATTCAAGAGAAAGAAAACAAAAATAAGTTTGACTCAAAAGGAAATCTGAAGAATTTCACAAGTGAAGATTATACTCACTGGTGATACAACATGCATTCCATCAGCATTAAGATACTGTGAATATCCATCCCAAGTACCAGTGTTACTGCCATAACCTGAAACCAGTCCAAACTTTAAAATAAGATCCCCTATGATTTTAATTATATACTATGTGAATAGTAGCTGAACATTGTTATCATCATCAATATCTTGTCACATTGAATTTTATGGGTCAACATCAAACATAGTTCACGAAATTCCACGAAAAAAAAAATGTTATGAATGGAAAACGGTCAATTTGCAATGGGTTAAATTGCAAGGGAAATGCTAGAACAATGAGATTTTACAGGAATCAGACTGACTTCTAACATCAACCACCACTATTTAGACCTTCATAATCCTCCTAAACCAATGACAGCAGAAAAGGGGTCAACAAACTAACCGCCATATGAAATGCTCTGTTCTTGAGATGCATACAAATTAAGCGCATGGGGGGTGCTACGTTCTCCACCAACATCTGAAGACTTGGGTTGTTCTGTAGCATCACTTGAAGGTCCTGTGATGACTGCAGCAGGAGAAGGATTCACTGAAACTATTCTTTCATCTTCGGAAGAAACTGGCTGAAAATAAATTACAAAATTAATGAAACACAGTTACCAAAGCCTTCAAAAGTAAAAAGAGACAACATTCTTAACGAATACATGACCAAGTACCTGGTCTTTCACCATATCTGACTTAACAGGTCTCTCTCCTACATCCAGAATTGATATTTAGTATCTCAGACGAACAACATATGCAGAGATGTTGGAGAAAGTTGGAGAAAATTGGAAACAGCAGGTATATACCACAGAAACAAAAATTATAATTTAACAAAAAGGTCTACCCCTGCGCACATCCAATGTTCCACCCTCACAGAGGATGGGAGCGCAATCACACAGATTGCAGATTGTTCAAACCCATGGGCAACTTACCCCTACAGAACCAGCTTGTCAGGAAAGGGTACTAGAGATTTCAGATACTAGTTATTCAAGGTGTTCTACTTTCTCAATGTGGGATATTTGGATTTTAGTATACCAACATGCTTCCAGAGATTGACATCCTCTTTTAGGGAACTTCACTCCCCAATGGGCCATTGGTTGCCCCTAACCTCTCTTAGGCAACTCCACTCACCAATGGTAGCGCTCCTTTCTTTTATATAGCTTCACTCCTCCAATTGTAACACTAACCTCTCTCAAGTACCTCTACTCACCAAGGCTAACTCTCTCCTTACTCAGGTAGCTGTACTCGCTCATCAATCCAAAAGTATACAAGGGCAAGCAATATTGATCGAGTGCAAAAAAACTCATGCCAGGAGGAAGGAGCTGGAGATCTGAACATGTGTCATGTTTTCAAATCAATCACATAATACACCACTGTTGACAATGAAGAGGGCTTCTATCTATTTCAGTCAGTTGCTTGCAGCGTACTTTAAAACCATAACTCATACAGAAGAAGTTGCATTATTAAATTGAACAAAAAAATTTCTTTAGGGGGGCAAAGCATATTTCTTCATAAATGAATTTCAGGCACCCGAATAATGGAGAACAATGGTGGGTCACCAATTTCATTACAGAAGGAGATTTCAGTGACTTGTGTTCCTAATAATCCGCTCTTGGCCATTTTGGCGCAATAACAGTACCCAGAAACACAAAACCCTATTTTAGGGTTTGGGGAATCAAGATTCAACTAAAACCACAGGGAAACCCCAAGAGCGTGACCAGAAACATAATGCATTCGGCACTAAGTGCTTAAAGCCACATGTGGCAATGACCCAATAAAGAATTCTCATCAAATTAAAGAAAAACACAATCTGGGAATTACCAAAAATTCACATAAATGCTAGGAATAAAACAGTAACCCACAAATTCTTATTGCAAAACAACAAAAACGAAGAGAAAAACAAAGATGGATTTTGCACAGGCACACACATAAAAATTTAAATTTAAAAAAAAACAGCACAATAATATCACATATTTCTCCCCAAAAACAAACAGATACCAGTGGAGACGATGCGATCTTGGTCGTCCTGATGCTTGTCCATATATGAAAGATCTATGCGAAGCAACAACGAGGAAAAGTTTCGAAAAATTTAAAATCAAAGGAAGAATTTAAAACGAAAGTAAGAATGAGAAGATGTTTAGGGGGAGAGGGGGGTTTTGGTGTTTTGAAAGAGGGAAAAAAATAGAGGGTTTTAGGTTTGTAAGGACGATTCCATTCGGAAGTACATATGTATATATGTAATTAATTAATTTGGATTTCGATTAAGGCGGTTTCCTTTTAAATTTTGGGAAATGATATGATAGGTTTAGGGGCTACGTTTGGTTTATAAAATTACGGACTAATTGCGATATACATCCTCAAGTTTTCATATAATTTCAATTAGGTACATTGTGTTTAAAAAGTTACAGTATCGAACACAAATTAGGTTTCAGTTTCAAAAGTGGGGATCCATGTACCTCGTCATAAAAAAATTATCAAAATTAATGGTCAAGTTAACTTTGCTGCATTGCCCCAAATATAAATTATCTAAATACTATACGATTTTTCAAAGTAATTTGCTTTTATATTTATCACAAAGACAAAATTTGGCGTTGTCACTATGTAACAGCTAAACAATCATGCACGAAAGTATCTATATTTGAACTTGCAAATTGAAAAAATACAGTAAATTTTACTTTATTACTCAAAAGTTTTTTGAAATTCAGACTTTGCTATACAAAGATTTTTTAGTCCCAATCTCGTGTCTAAACTTTGATTTTACTACCACTTTCATATCTCTGTTAGTTTCCCTTTTCCGTTAAACGATGATGTAACATTCATAGCTCTATGTTGACCACTGAATTTGCGCCAATTAGACCAATAAACAATTAAAAAATTGTATTATTTGTTATGAACAAATAAAATTAATAAAGTTAAAATTTTCAAATCAAATGTATAAAAAATAAAATTTTAAAAAGTAACAAAAACTAAAACTAAAACTAAAAACAAAAACCCTACCCCTATCCATCTTCCCCAACCAAATTTGGATTAAGCGGATGAAATAAGGGAAATGCAAAATCTATGGCACAACAATGGCCGCTTGGCCATAATAGCATAATTTGGACCAGGATACTAAAGGTGGCACCGATCCATCAAAGTTGGAATTTCCCTATGAATTCAAATCGGAATCCCAATCTCCATCACCGTCAACTCGTCGTCGTCATCGTCACTGCCCATTGGAGATCCTCACGTTCGCATGGGCACTACTCATTGGAAGTCTTCACGCTCGCATCTTCATGTACGTGGCCATGGTTCACACATGCCCCGCCTTCTCTCTAGCCCTCGGTTACGGTGAAAAACTAAGAAATTCTCGGCGTAGTCGGGTCGAGAAAGTCGGCAAAGCTACGGTTCGGATCTTGGAGGGGAATGATAGAGGAAAGAGAAATGAGTGTTTTGGTGGTAAAATGGTTGCTAGTGGTGGTCAGAGTTGGCCAGTCTGGGCTCTGAAATTTTTTGCAACTGCTGCAGTTTTGGGGCTTGATTTTTGCCAATCGAGGGGTGCAGTTTGTAGAGGAGGAAGATAGGAACGATTTGGGGGTTGTGACGTCGGTGGCTGTGACAGGACGACGAAGATTGTTGGCCTGGAAAACTCGAAGGCGTTAGGCATGTAACAGTTTCTTCTCCTTGTTTTCACGTGACACGTGACACATGACATGACACTGAGAGAAGTGTTCTTGTTTTTAGTTTTTAGTTTTTTTTTGTGTTACTTTTTCTAATTTTATTTTTTATACATTTGATTTTAAATTTTAACTTTATTAATTTTAATTATTTATAAAATAATACAAATTTTTAATTGTTTTTTGATCCACGTGGCACAAATTCAGTGGGTCAACGTGGACTTATGAATGCCACATCATCATTTAATAGAAAACTTGACAGCCAAACATGTAGAGGTATAAAAATGGTAGTAAAATGTTTAGGCATTAGACAAACGAAAAAAACTTCATGTAGCAAAGTTTGAATTTCGGGAAACTTCCAGGTAGTAAAATGAAATTTACCCAAAACAATAACTTTTTATCATAAACGGTCCCTTATGTTCACGAAATTATAACCTTTCGTGTTTGTCCTTTTTTTTTTTTGACATGGTTGTCCTTAAGGTTACTCTATGTCTATGTTGCACGAGCACGCCGATACGATACGATTCACCGATAGAGTGAAATTCCAAAAATTAGGATATGGGTACGGCACTGATACGGCGATTAAAATAATATATATTTAAAAATTAATATTGCATCCATCATAAGTTCAAAACATAAAACTAAACACAAAATACAAGTCTCCATAAACAAAACACAAGTCTTCATGAGATTGTTCAAATCATAAATAATAATGAAGAAAGCAACACAAAACAAATTAAAACATTGAGAAGCCACTTTCCAAATCTCTAACTTCATTCATCATTGTCATCATGGGTAAATATGATAGCTTCTTATTCCTTCTTCCTATTTCTTCTTCTTTTCTGGTTATTATCTCCCAAATGAAATGAAGACCTAACTTTTATCAAGAATAAGAGGTTTGGCCTTTAAAATTAACATTATCGGAAAATAGTAGAAGTATTGGCATATCCAATACGAGTATCGACATCCGATACAAGTATCGGAGTATCGATAAGTGTATCAGATACAAGCATACCCCCCCAATTAGGAGTATCGGTGCAACAGAGCTATATGTACATCAATTTAGTCATGACGTTAGTATGCGTTAAGTTTTCTGTTGAATTGCTAACGTGGCACATATGTAGACCACACATCCAATGATATAAAGCCATGTGACTTTAAATAAAAATGTTAATTTATTTAAAACTTAAGTAAGAATGTTTAAATAAAAATTGTTAATTTATTTATGTTAATTTTAAACACAAAAATGTTTAAAATTTTGAAAAATCATTTTTTTTAAAGTAAGAAACCAGAAGGAGAGGGAAGAGAAAGAAAGGCAGATAGTGGGTCGGTGTGATGACCTAGGTTTTACGAGCTATGTGACATGACTACTACTATATTTCTTATGCATTCTATTTGCTTAGTTGTCGTTTGAGTGTGTTATATGCTAAGTTTCATGGAGTTTTTATTTTAGTTTTACAATTCTATGATTAAGGTGTTTGCTTATAAGTATATTTTAATATGGTCAAAAGCCAACTCCAATTACCTATGTGTTTTAGTTCTGAAATGCTCAAAATTTACATGAAAACTCCATTATTGTCACCTACTTGGTTAGGTATCATGTTTATTAATCAAGCAGCTCATGGTAGGACATATTGCATATAAGGAAATCTCTCAGAGGACCTAATATAGGTTACTTGGTGGAGTGCGGGTTCGTACTTATTATACTAAGATGTATTGTTAGTCCCCTTATGCCTGAATTTATGTTTGTATGGTTACATATCAGTGGCCTTTTGGGATGTGGTGACTAATATGCACATACTCCTTTATTGGTCCTGTCTATTTACCATATTTGACAAGAAACTTGTTTTAAGAACTTGTAGTTTAATTATCTTTCTTGATGCACAATTAATGTATTTATTGTTAGCTAATGTTGTTCGCGTGAGTGGGAGAATGTAAGAGTTTTCGGGCTTCATTATTAGTATATGGGCCTGTTGTGTGCTATCTAATGGTCCATAATATATTAATGGGAAACATAATGTGATTGATAACTATATAATATGTGAACCCAATATCTACTATATGGTGGGTTCTTAGTTTTGGGCTTGAATTGTTCCTACTTGTGTTGGTATTAAGTTTTTCCTTAATGGTGGGAAACCTAATTGACACAATATATAAGTAGGGCCCCCTCAATAGCAGTCGCACTATTTAAGTTATCCCTCCCATTGCAGCCGTGCATACTAAATAGTGAGAAAAACTATACTTCTACTTATCGTTTATTCAGGATGTCTGCCGCTTCATATATTAGTATTTTATGTTGTTTATATACATATATCTGTTTATTGGGACTTACACCGTTACCATCCCCATTAAGTTTTTTTTTCCCCTATTTCCATCTTCATATTCGTAATATTGAAATTTGGGATTCCCCATTCCCGCATTCATTGAAAAAGGGGTTCCCCGCTTCGCCCGTCACAACAATACCAATAAAAAAAATGTATGAGCAAGAAAAAAAAATTAGAACTATTGGATTAGAGCAACAAACAAAACAAAAGTTTTGTCTTTTACTTATATTATTTTATATGTATTATTTGATGTAACATATTATAAATTTTGTGGAATATAAAATTTCGTAGGAGCTATGAGACACAACTAAAAGACACTTAACAATATTTTCATATGTGGAATATCAATAATATATATGTATGTATATCAAACTGGACGGGTTTGAGTCGATGATTAGAATACCATACCAGCCCTGCTCCGAACATTATATGTGAAAATTTCTTTGAATCCGTCCCCAAACTCAATTTTTATCTTTCATACTCGATCCATTAGCAACGAAGTTCCACAAAAACCCTATCTCGTAGAGAAAATTGCCATGGATATTTTCATTAATTCATTGGGTGGGAAGAAAAAATAATTGGGTACGCATAAAATGTGTCTTTTGAAATTTAGAGGACCGACCAATGATGTTTAGTTTAGTTAAAAATGCCTTGATTTGCAGACTAGTGGTTTTAGGTTCGAACTCCCAAGTCACCTTAGACAAGTTTCCTCGCAAGTAAGGGTCTTTGCTGGGCTTTGACCCTAATGGTCAATATGAAGGATTAAAAAAACGGGTATGGGGACAGATTCTAGGAATTTTGCGGGTATGATGTTTGGGGAGGGGCGGGAATGTTATTCTAATCCCTAACTGACCCAAACCCACCCCATTTAGAATATATATAATTTATTTTTTATATAAATATATTATTAAGATGTGTGATGGTGATGCTACCTGTATAATGATGATCTTTTTTTTTTTTAAATAGTCGATTTTTAGTTAATTTTGTGTTCATAGTGCTTTTTTTCTCATTCAACAAAGTAGTTTTTTTTATTGATTTTTTTTTTCGTAATGGGGTTCCCAGTGAAAGCGGGGGTGGGGGATCCTCAATTTGAATATTGTGGGTATGAAGGCGGGGATGAGGAAAAATGCCTAATGGGGATGGGGATGAGATGTGAATGACATACCCACCCTTGATTGGGAGAAACACTTACATAAAACGGGGATAACACTATTTTACTATTCTTGGCCAATCATGATATGCCAAGCGTGATAACTTTTCCACATGACAGACTGTGATTTGCGAAAAATAGCAAAACAGTGCTA